TACAATACCTGGGTTGGGCCAGCAGCCCAGAGTGTAGTCCAGATCTCCCACCGGAGTGGCAGGTATCCAGATATTTGAGCCATTACCTGCTGCCTTCCAGGGTGCATATTAACAGGAACCTGGATTGGAAGCAGAACCGAGACTCAAACCCAGGGACTGTAATATGGAATCAGGTGTGTCAAGCAGTTTCTTAACTGCTGTGCCAAACTCCCACCCTGTAAAATGACATTGTACAATTTTTAAATTTTAGAGAACTCTCTAAGGATATCTATCAGTGTCTTTCAGGAATAGTGGGAAATAAGTTTAACTTATTTGAGAGGCAGAGTTACAGACAGTAAGAGAGAAAGGTCTTCTTCCGTTGGTTCACTCCCCAAATGGCTGCAACAGCCGGATCTGAGCCGATCCGAAGCAAGGAGCCAGGTGCTTCTTCCCAGTCTCCCACATGGGTGCAGGGGCCCAAGGACTTGAGCCATCTTCTGCTTTCCCAGGCCATAGCAGAGAGCTGGATTGGATGTGGAGCACCCGAGACTAGAACTGGCATCCCTATGGGATGCCTGTGCCACCATGCTGGCTAGCCTCTTTCGATGTTTACTGATCTCTAAAGTAGGAATAATAATTCTCCTGCAGAGTGGCTATTTTTATTTATTTTTAAGTATTTATTTATTTTAAAAAGTCAGAGTTCAAGATCTTTCATCTTCTGGTTCACTCCCCAGGTGGCCACAACAGCCAGGGCTGGGCCAGGCTGAAACCAGGAGCCAGGAGCTTCTTCCAGGTCTCCCACATGGGTAACAGGAGCCCAAGGACTTGGGCCATCTTCTGCTGCTTTTCCTAAGCTGTTAGCATGGAGCTGGATCAGAAGTGGAGCAGCCAGAACACAAACTGGCACCCATATGAGATCCAACATCATAGGGAGTGACTTTACCCAACTACACCACAATGCCAGCCCCAAAATAGCTATTTTTAAATACGATAATATATGGAAGACATTTAGTGCAGTGTTTACCACTTGTTTGGCCCTCAGATGGTTAGCCATAATATCACGTTGCCACTGCTGCCTTTTTTCTTTCCTTTATCTCACATTAAAAGTGGTACTTTAAATATCTCTTCATGGTTCAGCCTTTTTTTTTTTTTTTTCCTTTAAGACAGAGCTACAGAAAGAGAGGGGGGAAATAAGAGAGAAAGATGTTACATCCACTGGTTCACTCCCCAAACGGCCACAACCGGTTGTACCAGGTGGAAACCAGGAGCCAGGAACTCCATCCCAGTCTCCTGCATGAGTAGAAGGGGCCTAAATAAATACTTTTTTTTTTTTTAAAGATTTATTTACTTATTTGAAAGACATAATTGCAGAGAGAGAGAGAGAGAGAGAGAGCTTCCATCCACTGGTTCACTCCCCAAATGGACACAACAGCCAGAGCTGGGCCCATCCGAAACCAAGAGCTTCTTCTGCATCTCCCATGTGGATGCAAGGGCCCAAGGACTTGGACCATCATTTGTTGCTTTCCCAGGCATATTAGCAGGAAGCTGGCTCAGAAGTAGAGCAGCTGGGACTTGAACCGGCACCCATATGGGATGCCAGTGATGCAGGCAGTGGCTTTACACACACTGCCACAGCACAGGCTTGAGCCATATTCCACTGCTTTCCTAGGCACATTAGCAGGAAGCTGGATCAGGAGCATAGTAGCTAGGTACTCGAGGCTTTTCTGGGATGCTAGAGTCACAGGCAGCAGTTTAACCTGCTATGCCATAATGCTGGTCCCCATTCAGCCTCTTTATACATTGATGTTGCATTTGTTTTTTTTTATGCTGAGAGATTAGATAGGTTGTCTCTAAATTCCTTTCCTTCTCTAAAAAAAAATTTTTAGGTGTATTTATTTATTTGAAAGGCAGAGTAAATAAGAGGAAGAGGCAGAGAGAGATCTTCCATCCTCTGGTTCACTCCCCAAATACCTGCAATAGTCCAGGGTAAATTAGGAGACAGGAATTTCATCTGGGTCTCCCACATGGGTGGCAGGAACCCAAGCACTTGGGCCATCATCTGCTGCCTCCCAGGTGCATTAGCAGGGAGCTGGATCAGAAGCAGAGTAGCCTGGTTTGAAGCTGACACTCTGCTAGGGGATGTGGGCATCCCAACCAGCAGCTTAACCCAGTGTATCAAAACACCTATTAGTGAAGAGGTTTTTTTAGAGAACACAATAATTAGGATATGCTGTTTTCCTGTTAATGACATAAAAGAGTATTGGTATGAATGAGATCCTTTGAAGAAATTCTATAGTATGTTGTGAAACTACAAATTACTTAAAGCAAATTACTAAAAGGATTCATGTTTTATTTTGTAAATTTAGGATTTCTCAAAATATACATTTTTAACCTTTTCATTGTTATATTTTAGAACTCTGGTAGCCTGTATGTAGAGGAATGAAAGAGTAAAATTATAAAGTTGTGCGTACTTTTCGAAGTACAGAGCAAACCTTATCTTTTTGCATTCTCATGGAAGCTTTACTTCCATGTCTTTTGCTGCTTAACCTTATCCTTATTCAAGCAAATATTTGCTTAGTGTGTGCCTAGTAAATAAATACAGGATACTGCACTTCCTGTGTCATCACCGTGTTGAGTCAGGCTACATCCACTACCCAACACGTTGATCTGTAGCAAAGTAAATAGAATATTGTCAACCCTGAAAGTTCACCTAAGCATCAGTGTCCAAGATTTTTACTAGGTTTCCATTAGGTAAGCATCATAAATGGAATCATGACTAACAAAGTTGAACTCAAACTTCCAGCCCCCTCTATCTAGCTCTGGAGGTCATGCTGATAAAAGGGCACCCAAAGTCTTCCATCCTAAGTTCTCTTATTATGGAGGCCCACTTTGAGTCAACCATGAGTAACAAAAAGATACAATTTTCAATGGAGAAGTTCCAAGAATTCAGAGACCACTTCCCAGAAACCATGAAAAAGGCCAGACAAATTCTTTATGTACAGCAACACCCATAGTTTTCTTTGGAATTTCAATAAAATTACCCAGAAAAAGAATAAAAGATGAGTGCCTGGTAACATCTCAGTGTAGCAGTTTTTTCTTGATCATTATGATTGTGTGTGTGTGTGTGTGTATGCATTTTAATGTATTGTACTTTTTTGCCTATGATATTGCCAGGGCGTGGAGATGGAGAAAGAGACAGAATGAACTCCTATTCACTGATTCATTTCCCAGGCACCTGAAGCCAGCAGTTCAGTCCAGGTCTTCCACATACATAGGTGGCAGGAACACAACTACTTGAACTACCTCCCAGAGTCTTCACCAACAGGAAGCTGGAGTCAGAAATAGAAGCCAGGCATCAAACTCAGGCACTTCAATTGGGGCATGGGCATCTTAGCTAGCACGCTAAATGCCTGTCCAGGGTCTGTTACTGTTGTCCTTTTCCTCAAAACCCCAATCAGTTTTAAATAGTTATATGTTACATTTCTGATTTAGATAGCCTTTCTCCAGAAATTCTAACTGATCAAGCTAACACAGCATTGTGGTACACTTTACTTAGACATTAGTGTTTTTGTTTGTTAAAACAGTAAGCTCTTACATAACAAGGAGGGGGAGTCCTTTGGTGAGGCAGAAACAGAAAACTCGCATCCCTTGGTTCTCCCTAAATGCCTACAACAGTAGGGCCCTGCCATGCTGAAACTGGTAGCCAGGAACCCAGGTCTGGTCTCCCACGTGGGTGACCGGGACCCAAGCACTTGAGCCATCACTTGCTGCCTCTGGTGAGGATGTACATTAGCAGGAAGCTGGAACCAAGAGTGGAGTCATAATTCAAAATAGGCATGCTAAATAATATGGGATGCAGGCATCTTAACTGCTAAGCTAAATGCCTGCCCCCACAAGTCCTTTAATACCAAGGACATATGAGGGGTCTTCAAAAAGTTTGTGAGGGGGTCCCAATGCTGTGGCACAGTGGGTTAAAGCCCTAGCCTGCAGTGTCGGCATCCCATGTGGGTGCCAATTCAAGTCCCGGCTGCTCTTCTTCCGATCCAGCTCTCTACTATGGCCTGGGAAAGCAGTAGAAGATGGCCCAAGTCCTTGGGCCCCTGTACCCGCATGGGAGATTTGGAAGAAGCTCCTGTCTCCTGACTTCGGATCAGCTCAGATCTGGCCATTGCAGTCATTTGGGGAGTGAACCAGCAGAATGGAAGACCTCTCTCTTGCTCTACCTCTCTCTGTAACTCTGTCTTTCAAATAAATAAAATAATTCTTAAAAAAAAAGTTCATGACGGGCACTGGAGTTGTGACACAGTGGGTTTAACTGCTGCTTGCAACACCAGCATCTCATTGGAACAATGGTTCAAGTCCCAGCTGCTCTGCTTCTGATCCAGTTTTCTGCTAATGTACCTGGCAAGGCAGTAGCAAATGGCCCAGGTACTTACATGGGAGACCAGGGTGGACTTCAGTGCTCCTGGTTTTGACCTGGCCCAGTCCTGGTTATTGTAGATGTTTTGGGTGTGAACTAGCAGATCTAGCTATCTGTCTATGTCATTCTGCCTTTCAAATAAATTTAGAAAAATAAAAATTCATGAGAAATGCAGATTTTTACAAAAATTAAGGATTTCAAAAGTTTTTTGGACCACAGTAAATCTTATGCTTCATTTTTAAAGATGTATTTATTTATTTGAAAGGCAGAGTGACCGAGAGAGGTAGAGATCTCCATCTGCTGGTTCACTCTACAGATGGCTGCAACATCATGGGCTGGGCCGGGCCAGGCCAAAGCAGGGACTCAAGTACTTGAGCCATCATTTACTGCCTTCCCAGGTGTGTTAGCAAGAAACTGGATTGTAAAACAGGGGCAAGACCTGATCCCAGGCACTCTGATGTGTGATGTCATTGTCCCAAGCAGCGCCTTGCCCTGTGTCACAACGCCTGTCCCTCCACAAACTCTTTGAGACCCCCCCCAAATTAAATAACAGTGGGTGAAATGCAACATTAATCTTATAATGGTACTATTATATTTTCAGGAAACTACTAAAGTTTCTGTGGAAGCAAAGTAGAATTTCATAAGAACATAATGGGTAAGTTATATAAAGGTAATTTTGTGTTTTCATGAGTACAATTTGGTTTTTCTTCTCAATTAAAAATCAGCCTTCAAAGGCAGTAAATGCAAGTAAGTATGGTCAGAGTAGACCAAAATTAGTTTATGTCCACAGGTTATGTTTACTATATATTTCTGAAAAATAATAACTATTTTGCCAAATCTAGGTTGTAATTCTAATAATTATACCTTAAGGTATTTGAAATATTCCCAGCAAACAAATATAAATGGTTTAGTTTGCAAAAAATAAAAATTGCTACAAATCCATATGTTCGAATTGCTTAGTCTATTTGACATCTTTATGAGTCCCCAACTTTTTATTATGAAAACTTCCAGAAAAACATACTATCATAATTTTTGCCTGATTGTTAACATTCTGCCACATTGTCTTTCCATGTGTAATTTATGTGCATGCACACACACAGTTCTTGCATCGCTGAAGATTAATCACACAAATGACACACTTCACACCTAAGTATTTCAGCATACGTGCATGTCCTAATTTAGTTCATATTCAGAATTTCCCAGTTTTAATAGTTTTCATTTGTTTTAACCCTGAATCCAATCAAGGAATATTCATTGTGTAAACTTAGCTCTTTAATCTCCTTTAAGCAGTTACCTGCTTATTTGGAAGTAGGAAGGAAGTTCTTTCATGATTTCTGCTTTAATATTTGTGCATTTTATTTGAAAGGTAGAATGGCAGAGAAAAAGGGCAAGAGAGATTTTCCATCTGCTGGCTAATTTCCCAGGAGTAGGCCATGCCAGAGCCAGGGGCCCGGAACTCTAGCTAGGTTTTCCACATGGATGGCAGGAGCACAGGTACTTCAGCCAGCATCTGCAGCCTCACAGGCACATTAGCAGGAAGCTGGATCAGAAGCACAGTGCAGCCAGGCCTGGAACAGGCACACTGATGAGGGAATCCCAAGTGGCAACAGACACTTGCCATATGACTTTTTTTTTTTTTCTATAAGAGACCAGGCCAGCTATTTTAAAGACTATCTCTAACCTTCAGTTTAAATATAGCTTGTTTTTTTTCTTGGTGATATGATTGAGATTAAATATTTTTGGTAGCCATGGATGATTCTGATGTTTGTTAATCTTTTAGGAATTTCTGAATCAGTTATTAACAAATGAGTAAATAGATGTTTTTGGCTTAACAGAACTGAAGCTTAATCTTTCTCTTCTCCTTTGCAGAGCTTCCTTAAGTTTTAGAATAATTCTTTAAAAAAACAAGATTTATTTATTTTAATTGAAAGTCAGAGTTACACAGAGAGAGAGAGAGAAAGAGGTCCTCTGTCTGCTGGTTCACTTCCCAGTTGGTCACAACGGCCAGAGCTGCACCGATCTGGAGCCAGGAGCTTCTTCTGGGTCTCCCACATGGGTGCAGGGGCCCAAGGACTTGGGCCATCCTCTATGCTTTCCCAGGCCATAGTAGCTAGATGGGAAGTGGAGCAGCCGGGTCTTGAACCAGCGCCCATATGGGATGCTGGCGCTACAGGAGGCGGCTTAACTCCCTATGCCACAGACCGGCCCCAAAGAATAATTTTTTTTTTTTTTTAAGATTTATTTATTTGACAGGTAGAGTTAGAGACAGTGAGAGGGAGAGACAGAGAGAAAGGTCTTCCTTCCATTGGTTCACTCCCCAGATGGCCGCAACAGCAGGAGCTGTGCCAATCCGAACCCAGGTGCTTCTTCCTGGTCTCCCATGCAGGTGCAGGGGCCCAAGTACTTGGGATATCTTCTACTGCTTTCCCAGGCCATAGCAGAGAGCTGGATTGGAAGAGGGGCAGCTGGAACTAGAACCGGTGCCCCTATAGGATGCTGGTGCCGCAGGCAGAGGATTAACCTACTGCACCATGGAGCCAGCCCCAAGAATAATTTAAGATAATTTCTTTCCTATGTTAATGACGATAAAAGTTAAAATTCTGTTATGGTAACAAAAACATCGAAGTATATATGTGAGAAAAAAATCATAAGGAGATAACACAAAAATATAACCCTTCCCTTTCCCCCCACAAAAAACAATTTGTGTGGCACTGACTCCTGTGGCTAAAGGCAGCACTGTGGCCTTGGGTAGTAGGAAGAACATCCGTAGAGTCTTGTCTCCTCACTCCTGCTTTTAATTTTTGAACACTCATGTTTTGTCTGTATTTATTACTTCAGTCAGCTAGTAATTTCAGTTGTGCAATAAATAGTCATTTGGGTTAAGAGTAAAATGATAAGTAAAAAAAGGCCTTAAGTTACAGAATTCAGAGCTTGTCAAAAGAAGTTGAACTAAGCTGGCCTATAAACATCCATTCATAAATGCACTGTGTATCTAAAAGTATTTCAGATACAGTTATACAGCTTAAACATTTTGATTGTCTTCAGTTTTTTGTTTGTTTGGTTGGTTGGTTTATTTTTTGTTAAGATTTTATTTATTTGAGAGGTAGAGTTACAGAGAGAAAGGTCTGGGACCAATACTGTGGCCCAGTAGGCTAAGCCTCTGCCTGCAGTGCCAGCATTCCATTTAGGCACTGGTTCTAGTCCTGGCTGCTTCTCTTCTGATCCAGCTCTCTGCTATGGCCTGGGAAAGCACTAGAAGATGGCCCAAGTCCTTGGGCCCCTGCCCCCACATGGGAGACCCAGAAAAGGCTCCTGGTTTTGGATTGGCCCAGCTCCGGCCACTACAGCCATTTGGGAAGTAAACCAGTAGATGGAAGACTGGAAGACCTTTTTCCCTGTCTCTCCCTCTCACTGACTATAACTCTACCTCTCGTAAAGTCTTTAGAGAGAGAGAGAAAGAGAGAGAGAAAGCTCTTTCATACACTGACTGGTTCACTTCCCAAATGGCCATAATGGCCAGGCTGGCCCGGACCAGGCAGAGGCTTAGCCTGCTACACCACAGTGCCAGTGCCCAGTCTTCATATTTAAATGTGCCGCCATTTTGATCACAAAAAGTTGTTAATATCTTATTGTAAAATAAAGGTCAATTTTTATCTAAAGTAGCATTTTTGTTTCCAGAGATTATACTGACTTTGGAAAATTTTTAGCAAATAATAATGAAATTATTTTAAGACTTTAAAAATTTGGTGACTGTTACCCTCCAGTATTGTTTCTGGTCTTTGAGGTTCTCAAACAATACCCTTGGTCAATCTGTTTAATACATAGTAAGATTCAGCTCATTTCACTACTTACTTTTAGATGGAGAGGAGAAAACGTATGGTGGCTGTGAAGGCCCTGATGCCATGTATGTCAAGTTGATATCTTCTGATGGTCATGAATTTATTGTAAAAAGAGAACATGCACTAACATCAGGAACAATTAAAGCCATGTTGAGTGGCCCAGGTAAGTGTAGGTGTTTTTTTTTTTTTTTGCCCACATAAGTTTGTTATTTTGCCATTTATTTATTTATTTATTTATTTGAAAGAGAGAGATCATCTGTCTGCTGGTTCATTCCCCAAATGGCTGCAACAGCCAGGGCTGGGCCAGGCTGAAGGCAGGAGCTAGGAACTCTATCTAGTACTCCTAATAGGTAGCAGGAACTCTAGTAGTTGAGCCATCCACTGTCCTCTTAGGCATGTTAGCAGGAAGCTGGATGGGAAGCAGAATAGCCAGGACTTAAACTGGCACTCTGATATGGGATGTGATATCCCTAGCAGCATCTTGCCCTCTAATGCCCTCTAAGAATGCCCACCCTGCCCTCTAAGTTTTGATAAGACTGAACTGTTTATTTTGTAATAGGAAGGCTTGTTTGCCTCCATCATTTCCCATGGTTAACTTCTTAACTTCAGACTGATTGGTATTCTTAACTTGATATGAAGTTACCACCTGCCAAATTCTATTCTTAACATTTTTTTTTATAAAGTAGATTTCACATAAGAATTAACTATTAAAGTATACAGTCCTCACCTCTATTAGTTGCAAAACATTTTTATCACCTCAGCAAGAAACCCTGGCCCTTGGTCCGGGCCAGCCTGGCCATTAAGCTGTCACTACTCATTCTCAACCCCCAGCACCTAGCAGACATTAGTGTATATTTTCAGTTCTCTTGGGTATATACTTAGGAGTAGAATTTCATTCTATGGTAATTCAATGTTTAACCTTCTAGAGGACCCACCAACTGCTTCCACAGTAGCTAAATAATTTTACATTCCTGCGAACAGTACTAGAGTTCTAGTTTTTATTACACCTTCTGGCTAATGTTTGTTATTATCTGTCTTGTTTGCTTATAGCTATCCTAGTGGATGTCAAAGCGGATTGGTGTTTTCCAGAGGCCTGGGGGGTAGGGTAGGAAAAATGGGAAATAATTGCTTCATGGGTACAGAATTTTATTTCAGGGTGATGAAAATGTTTTATGAGTAGGTATAGGGGGTGGTTGTACAATTTTGTGAATATACTAAGTGCTACTGAATGGTACACTTTAAAGTGGTTAATTTTATGTTATAATAATTTCATCTCCACAAAAACTACTCGTGTTTGTTATGAAAGGCTTAATAAGTACCTCTTAGTAATATTTCATACATTTAAGTATATTCAAGAATGTGAATTTTAGTTATTGGTAAACCAAAATTTACCTATTTGTGAATTGTTTGCTGAATTCTATTCTCCTTCTTTATCCCTGCCTCACCCTCACCTAATGGATAGTTATTAGAAAACCTCTAAAATACTACATTCTTAGTCTGTTTAAGTGTGAAATGTCTTTGTGCTAGTTCCCGACTGCTAAAAAAAGTATTTTGGGGTTTGGCGCTGTGGTGTAGGAGTGTTAAGCTGCCACCTGCAGTGCCAGCATCCCATGTGGGTGCCAGTTCAAGATTGGCTATTCCACTTCCAATCCAGCTCCCTACTGATGCACCTGGGAAAGCAGCAGAAGATGGTGCATTTTCTTGAGCCTCTTCTACCCATGTGAGAGACCTAAAAGAAGCTCCTGGCTCCTGGCTTCAGTCTGGCCCAGCCCCAGCCAATGCAGTGGTTTGGCAAGTGAACCAGTGGATAGAAGATCTCTCTATGTCTCTTCTCTCCCTCCCTGTAACTCTGCCTTTCAAATAAATAAATCTTTAAAGGAAAAAAAGCATTTTGTCTCTATGAGGAAAGGCTAAATAATACGACCTTTCTGAACTATAGGCACTTTGAGGAATGATTGAAGAAAATTGTTTATGTAGTGTTACTAAGCAAAGAGAAATGTCTTTTAGAAAAGAATATCCAGGGGCCAGCACAGAGGCATAGCAGGTAAAGTGACCACCTGCAGTGCCAGCATTCCATATGAGTGCCAGTTTGACTCCCAGCTGCTCTCTGCTCTCTGCTATGGCCTGGGAAGGCAGTGGGAGATGGCCCAAGTTCTTGGGCTCCTGCAGTCACGCGGGAGACCTGAAAGAAGCTCCAGGCTCCTGGCTTTGGATTGGCATAGCTCCAGCTGCTGTGGTCATCTGAGGAGTGAACCAGCAGATGGAAGATCTCGTGTACTCTCTCTTTTTTTCTCTCTCTCTGCCTCTGTTTCTGCCTCTCTATAACCCTGCATTTCAAATAAATAAATAAATAAATCTTAAAAAAAAAAAAAAAAGACTATCCACAGGTTCATTCCCCAAAGGCCTGCAGTGGCCAGGGCCAAAGCCAGGAGTTAGGAACACCATTGAGGTCCCCCATGTAAGTGGCAGGCCCAATCACGTGGGCCATCACTGCTGCTTCCCAAGATTTGCATTAGCAAAAAGCTGGATTTAGGAATCAGATCCAGGAATTGAACTCAGGCACTCCAGTGGAGGACAGACATCTTAATTAACATCTTAACCACTAGGCCAAACACTCCCACACCCCAACTCTGCTTTTACATGGCAATTCAAAATTGTACAGAACTCCTTTGGTCCATAAAGACTTGGTTCCCTGAACTAAATCTTATTTGAAAGTTATTTACCTTTTCTACCTGTATACCCTTCCACAATCATGCCACCCAGATATTAAGGGAAAGCTACACAGGGAGAGAATCGGAATTTTTTTTTTAAGATTTATTTTATTTATTTGAAAGAGTTACATAGAAAGGTAGAGACAGAGAGAGAGAGATCTTCTGTCCACTGGTTCACTCCCCGAATGACCTGCAGCTGAGCTGATCCGAAGCCAGGAGCTAGGAGTTTCTTCCGAGTCTCCCACGTGGGTGCAGGGGCCCAAGGACTTGGGCCATCCTTTGCTGCTTTCCCAGGTGCATTAGTAGTGAATTTGATCAGAAATGGAGCAGCCGGGACTAGAACCAGAGCCCACAGGGATGCTGGCACTGCAGACCAGGGCTTTAACCAGCTGCGTCATAGCACTGGCCCTGAGAATTGGAATTTTAAAATTCAGTCATGATGAATCAATCTGAAATGCTACCGTGTGTGTGTGTGTGTGTGTGTGTGTGTGTGTTTTATGTTGTTTATACTAAAAAACCAGAGTTAAATGGGGTAGGCATTTTCACAGCAGTTAAGATGCCACTGTGTATAATTGTTTGCCATATTGGAGTATTTGAGTTTAAGACCTGTCTCTGCTCCCAGCTCCAGCTTCCTGCTAAGTGTACCCTGGCAGCAGGTGATGACTCAGCTTGGGTCCCTGCCACCCATAAGGTAGACCTAGATTGAGTTCTGGGCATCTGGATTTGGCCTGGCCTAGCCCCAGCCGTTGTAGGCATTGAGGGAGTGAACCAGCGGATGGAAGATCTCTCCCTCTGTGTGTGTCTGCCTTTCAAATAAAATAAATGAATTGAAATTTTTGAAAAAGAAATCTGATTTAGATAGTGTTTGATGCTAAATAGAGGGTTTATTTTTTTTAAAACCAAAGCTTTTTTTTTTTTTTTTTTTTTGAAGATTTATTTGTTTATTTGAGAGGAAGAATCAGAGATAGAGGGAGAGAGAGAGTTCTTCCATCTGCTGGTTCACTCCCCAAATGGCTACAACAGCCGGAGCTGGGCCTATCCAGACAGGAACCAGGCACTTCTTCCAGGTCTCCCACATGGATGCAAAGGCCCAGGCACTTGGGCTGTCTTCCACGGCTTTCCCAGCCGTTAGCAGGGAGAATCAGAAGTGAAATAGCCTGAACTCAAACCTGCGCCCATATGGGATTCTGGCACCACAGGCAGAGTCTTAACCTGCAATGCCACACCCCCGGCCCTCCCACTTTTTTTTTTTTTTTTTTTTTAACATTTATTAGTTTGATAAGTGCTGCCATAACAAAGTACCATAGGCTGAATGGCTTAAACAACAGGAGTTTATTTTCTCACAGTTGTGAAGGGTGGAAGTTGAAGATTAAGGCGTTGGCAGGGCTTGTTTCTTCTCAAGACCTTCTTGCCTTGTAGATGACCATCTTTTCCCCTTGTCTTCAGATGATCTTCATTCTGCTTGTCTGGGTCCCAGTCTCTTCTTATGAGAACACTCATCACATTGAGTTGCCAACCTATTGATTTCATTTTAGCCTATACTTCATTAAAGACCTTATCTCCAAATAAAGTTAGAATCTAAGATACTAGGAGTAAAGCTTTCAACATGTGAATTTGGTGGGAAGACATACTTCAGCTCATAACGTACACACACTTTTTGTTTTCCAGGTCAGTTTGCTGAAAACGAAACCAATGAGGTCAATTTTAGAGAGATCCCTTCACATGTGCTATCAAAAGTGTGCATGTATTTTACCTACAAGGTTCGCTACACTAACAGCTCCACCGAGATTCCCGAATTCCCAATTGCACCTGAAATCGCACTGGAACTGCTGATGGCTGCGAACTTCCTAGATTGTTAAATAAAATAAATTATAATAAACTGTTAACTTTTTCAGTATTTAATACCTGTAGTTCAGCTAGTAATTTTTTCATATATAGCATGTTGCCTGTATGCAATTGAACTATGAAGTTCATTGCAAAGCAGATTATCTTCTGTTCTTTTGCATAGCAATCAGAATTGAAATTTGTTTGCTACATCAACAAATTAAGGACATTTTCACAAAAAGAAATAAACAGATATGCCAATTCATAGATGGTTTTACCTTATCCTTTGGATGTGACTTTTAAAATTAGAGCAGTGATCATATAGTTAATGCTGAACTTTAGGCATAAATGAACATACAGGTAAAATAATGGGGCTAAGTATTTTTATGTTTTTAGTGTTTTTTTAAAAACCTGTTCTGATCTTACAGCCTCCAGTAGCATTACTAGGGTTATGCAAATAACGCATTATAAAAATGTAACATAAACTTAGCCGAAACATTGATTTTTATAACTCATATAAGAGTTGAAATTTCTTATGTGTCTTTTGATAAACTGCAGTATTGTTTAAGTGTACTTTGTCTCTTTGTTTATTGCTACAATTTGAGAACTTTATTTAAAAGCAATTTGGGGAGGTTACTAGGAATAGTAACTATGCAACTGTAGCCAGATGGTTAACAAGTAAACTACATGACTTAAGAGTTCTTGTGCGTTGCGCATTTTGGGAAATCTAAAGTACTGTACTTTCATTGATTATAAATCTTCCTTTGCAGTTATTTTTATTCTTCTTTTGTAATCCCTTGTGATTACGCTTTTGATTGTTTAAATGTGTTTTAAAAGACTCATTATGAACTTTATCCAAATCTTAAAGTTAAGACTCTTCTGAACTACTCCAGTCTTCCTCCATCCAATCGAATGTTATAAAATATGAAAGACACATGGAAAGATGTAGTATACATCATATAATATCCTTAGGTATAGTACATGATTTATCATCTTATTAATTTATAAATTATGTCCCAATAAATATAATATCCATAATCAGTGAGTTTCCTACTGAAAGCAAACTCATAGGGAGATCATTCAGCTTTTATATTAAGCAGATAAAAAACATGTGAAAAACCATGACATAGTATCTTTGCTTAGGCATCGATACAGAAGCACTGAAGTTGGGTTTAATATTGTCTGTATTTTAGTAGTAGAACAAAGCTGCCTTTATAGGATCTATAAATGTAAGTCTTGAGCTTATTTCTTCCAGACTAGCTTAATATGGACTGTTTTTTCTGGAAACTGCAAAAACAATAAACAAAAGTAATTTTTCCTCTTAGAAAACATAAACACACTATCTGGCTTATTGAAAGCAGTTAAATATCAATTGCATATTGTAGAGCATACTGGTACATGTTTTAGCATAGAAGATTATGTATCAAGTTAATTATATTCTGCTATTTGATGGCAAATAATGCCAATTATAAACCATAATGATTTCAAAAATGAAGGTGATAGCTGGAAATAAACCTCAGCTTTGGTTACTTATGTGTGTGATCCAGAAGTAACCATAAGTTTAAGACAATAAAATCTGAAACAGACTAGGTAAACCTGTATATCTTGCGGCAAATGGTACTTGCATGTTAATAAAGACTATTGACTGAAAGGAATGGATGGAACACTTGGTGTTTGCTCTTTTTAGCCTTAATTTTCTCTTTTCCTGGAGATTCACAAAACCCTGCTTCAGAAAATCATGCCATATGATTGAATAGCAGGGATTTTTATTTTACTGATTTTGAGAAAATTCTTTTATGTGTCATTGAAACCTTAACAGTGTTCTCACACTTTGTAGTTTGCTTACTTTTAAGTTAAGTATAACTCTCTTTGATATTTTTTCTTTCTGCATGGAAAATATTACCATATAGTCTTTTATGCATTTAATATTTTGTATTTGTACTGTCTAGATTATGCTTTCTAGATTGTTTATTTTTCGTGAAGTTTTTCTCAGTTGCTAACAGTCTCCCTACTTTTGAAGATATTGTTGGTACTGAGAAATTGAATTTATTACATGCAGTAAATTCGGCTCATGCCAGCATAGAAATACATTGCGGTGTCTTGCTATGCTTGGGTATGTCATCTTAGTATGAGTCATTTTGCTAAGCTAGACAGTTCTTTGGAAATAATGCAAATATTTTGAGAAATAATAGAGAATTGTTGATAAGATTTAAGTCTTCAATTTCAGTAATTCTTTTTTTTTTTTTTAAGATTTATTTATTTGAAAGGCAGAGTGGCAGAGAGAAGGAGGTCTTTCATCCACTGGTTCACTCCCCAAATGCCGCAATGGCTGGAGCTGTACCAGTCCTAAGCCAGAAGCCAGGAGCTTCTTCCAGGTATCCAACATGGGTGCAGTGGCCCAAGAATTTGGGCCATCTGTTGCTTTCCCAGGCTATAGCAGAGAGCTGGATTGGTCTCGAACCTGCTACACCACAGCACTAGCCCCAGTAATTCCTTTTTAAGTAGAGGACATTTCATCTAATTCATACATGTTAACAAAGCTTAAATGTTTCCAGATTTAGTAGTGCTAAATTGAGCCTCTCATTGGCTGTATCACTAAGTCTGATAAAACATTTAAGGTCTGCACAAAAGATGCCACACATTTTATGTATATTATTTTATTTGCAACATATAAATCTTTTTTGATTCTAAGCCAGTCATATTTGCAGTAAGACTTTATTCATTTCAGGTTAAACTTTTTTTTTTTTATAAAAATTTATTTATTTGAAAGTCAGAGTTACACAGAGAGAGGAGGAGAGGCAGAGAGAGAGAGAGTTCTTCCATCTGCTGGTTCACTCCCCAATTTGGCTGCAACAGCCGGAGCTGAGCCGATCAGGAGCCAGGAGCTTCCTCCGGGTCTCTCACATGGGTGCAGGGGCTCAGGTTAAATTCTTAAATATACTTAGTGGTTTGTTGATTTTAAACTTAACCTAGAAATGTTTTTGGAATATTAGAGCACTAGCTTGAAAGTTAGTCTAGAATCGTGTGGCAGCTAGCCATGTGACCTTGGACAAGTCACTAGAAATCCATTTCACATCTATAGAGTTAGGAGGTTCACATCCATAGGGTTATATTCCCTTTTTTTTTTCTTCTTCTTTTCTTTTTGCAAAGTAGAAAGTGTACACCATCCACTGATTCAGTCTCCAAATGCTTGCAACAGCGCAAGGCTGACACCAGGTGCCAGGAACTCAATCCAGTTCTCCACATTGGGTGGTCGGAATCCAATTACCTGAGTCATCATTGCTGCCTCACTAGCAGGAGTCTCGGGTCAGGAGCAGTGCCTGGTATCAAATCCAGGTACTCTTCATATGATATGTGGGGAGCATCCTAACAGGTGTTTTAATAAGATTGCATTTGTGATGTTGCTTAAACCAAAGATTGTAACGTTATAGATGATCAGATTAAAAGAATTATGAACTAGTAAGAATAATAAAATTCCGCATCCAAAACTGTATATAATAGTTAGGTTAGTTGTGAATCTCTTTTTCATTGTCTGCTTTATGGAGAAAGCCAGGTTTAGTTCTGGTTATAAGTAGTTGCTAATATAAAGGGAAATTTATTGTCTATGATTTTATACACAGTATATTTAATATCAGATCAACTTGAAGTTCATTCTTCATTCATGCACTTGTTTTTCTAAATTAGGTGCTTGTATGATTTTGTTAACTACTTCATGTCCCTGCAGTTGAAAACAAAGAACTAACTTTTAATGCCCTGTGGAATATTCAGTTAGTTTGGCTTTCTTCCCTACCCCAAGAAAAGTTTTGTTCTTTTTATTTTTTTTTTAAAGTTATTTATTTGGAAGGGAGAGTGACAGAGATACAGAAAGGTCTTCCATCAACTGGTTTGCTCTCCAAATGGCTGCAACAGCCAGAACTGGGCCAGTGTGAAGCCAGGAGCCAGGAACTCTATCTGGGTCTCATGTGGGTGGCAGGGACTCAAGCATTTGAGCTGTCATCTACTGTTTGCCAGGCACATTAGCTTGTGAGCTGTATCTGAAGTGGAGTAGCCAGGACTTGAGCAGGCACTCCAATATGGGATGCAAGCATCCCCAAGCAGTGGCTTAACAACTCACTGTGGCACATTGCCAGCCTCCCACAAAGTTTTGATAGACCTCATGTTCATAATCATCAGATTGTTAATGTCAGTTTTATATTTTTGGATGCTGTTACATAGGACATGGATTCATCAGAATTAGTTTGCAGTTGCTTTTTTTATTATTATTTTGACAGAGTTGGAGAGACAGAGAGAAAGGTCTTCCTTCCATTGGTTCACTCCCCAAATGGCCACTATGGCCAACGTGCTGCGCCGATCTAAAGCCAGGAGCCAGGTGCTTCCTCCTGGTCTCCCATGGGGTGCAGGGCCCAAGCACTTGGGCCATCCTCCACTGCCTTCCCAGGCCACAGCAGAGAGCTGGCCTGGAAGATGGGCAACCGGGACAGAACTGGCACCCCAACCGGGACTAGAACCCGAGTGCCAGCCCTGCAGTTGCTTTTAATATAAATATATTTGGCCTAGAGAGATTTTATATGCTGAGACTTTTAATTTGTGATAGGCTCTATTGTGTCATTATTTAGAAAAGCATGATGGATTAGGACTAGAAAAGATCAAATTTGGTCACTTCAAATTAGAATTGTCTGAATCCTTTGCATTAGAACCCAACTTTATGTCACAAAGTAAAGTTTGTGATTAATCTTGCCTATACCAACTGGCCCAGATCCATTGTTAGAAATTTTTTTACATACCTCAGAAAGACCTTAACTGTAGGCATATTAATTTTTTTGGAATATTTACTTATTTGAAGATGGGGAGACAGGTTTTCCATCCACTGGTTCACTCCCCAGATGGCTGCAGTGGCCAGAGCTGGGGTGATCTGAAGCCAGGAGCAGGGAATTTCTTCCAGGTCTCCCATGTGGGTGCAGGGGTCCAAGCACTTGGGCCATCTTCCACTGCTTTCCCAGGCCATAAGCAGAGAGTTGGATTGGAAGAGGAGCTGTCAGGACATGAACCAATGCCCATATGGGATGCTGGCACTGCAGGCGGAGACTTAGCATATTACACCACAGCGCTGGCCCCCTTATTAAATTTTGATGCAGACTCAACCAACTGTATTTTTTTTTTTAAAGATTTATTTATTTTATTTGGAAGATTCATGAGAGAAAAGGAGAGGCAGAGAGAGGCCTTCCATCCGCTGGTTCACTCCCCAGTTAGCCCAAACAGCTGGTGCTGCACTGATCTGAATCCAGGAGCCAGGAGCTGCTTCCAGTCTCACATGGGTGCAGGGGCCCAAGGACTTGGGCCATCTGCTGCTGCTATCCCAGTCGCATTAGCAGAGAGCTGGATCAGAAGTGGAGCATCCAGGACTCGAACCAGCGCCCATGTGGGATGCCAGTGCTTCAGGCCAGGCGGCAGCTTTACCCACTGTGCCACAGCGCCAGCCCCTGTATTTTTGAGTCAGTATACTTTGATTTCTCTGCTCTACAACATTGCAAAAATCTGCATCAGGCTCACCTATAATTTGGGATTGAAAATGGATTTTCTTCAGACCAGCAAAGGCAAGTTTTGTCTTTCTACTATTATTCACCAATTTTTGAATATACAAGTTTCTTTGGTTTCTTAACAGCTACCATTCAAATCAGCTAATATGTTCCCTTTTGTCTTCTGACCTTAAACAAGTATGCAAGGCAAAACTTAAATGACAGTCCAAGGTCACGAGCTAACTTGCAGTGAGATTCTAGATCCAGATTGTAGTTCAAGTTAATTAGAGCAAACATGGTGCTTAGATTGTAGGGAACTACACAGAGAAAAGGTCATATTTATTGAAATAAGCATTATATCATATTGATTGTGGCATTTAGGTAGTCAATGCACTAATGTGCCAATAGTGCATAAGAAGACCTGTATAAGATTTCAAATGACTTACTTAGTAGACTTCATTGCTCAGAACATTTCTCCATCTGCTTTGGGAACTTAGAATGTTCTTTAGAACAGCCTCAGTGGTGTTAGATGGTTTTCTTTAAATGTTCTTGCAGCATGAAAACCTACTGAAGAAAGATGCCTGGCCAGACTGGATCAGGAAGAAGATACATGTGAGTAACAAGGAATTAGAGTAGCCTTCTCATGTAGCCAGTAACCTGACTCAAATATCCCAGAACCAAATTAAAAGCTGCAAGCTTAAGGGGCAGGCATGGTATAGCAGGTGAAGCCTCTGACTGCAAAGCCAGCATTCATGTGGGTGTCGGTTCAAGTCCCAGCTGCTCAACTTCAAATCCAGCTCCCTGCTAATTGCCTGGAAAAAAGCAGCGAGAAGTGGCTTAAGTGCTTGGGCCCCTGCACTCACATGGGAGACCTGGAAGAAGCTCTTGGCTTTGGCCTGGCCATTGTGACCATTTGGGGAGTGAACAATTGGGTGGAGGATTGTCCCTGTCTCCCTCTCTGTCTCTGTAACTCTACCTTTCAGGTAAATGGATAAATTAAAAAAAAAAAAAATGCTGCAAGCTTAACCTTGGAAAGTCCGTAGCCAAGGGCAAGTATTGGGCCTAGTGGTTAAAACACCTTCATTCCATATCAAGAGTCTGAGTGCAAGTGCTGGCTGTGGTTCCCAGTTCCACCTTCCTGCTAACAC